GACATAGTCAAATGATTTTTGATAAGGGTGCCAGGAACAAAGACATTATTTTCTAACATATGATGTGGAGAGAACTGAATATCCAGATGCATAAGCATGAAGTTGGATCTTTACCTTATACCACATATAAAAATCAACTCAAAATAGACCAAAGACCTAAAACTCTAAAACCCTTAGAAGAAAACACAGTGGGTTCAGGGGGAAATATTACACTGGATTTGAACAAAAGAAGTGAGAGCTATACCCATGGCCAGAAAAAAATGATACTCATTTAATAAACTATTCTTTTTGTTTTGTTTTGTTCCTTTCTCCCCACCCCCACATTCTGTTTGCTCTGGGGAAAGTCAGTAATGGTCCTGACTACCTATTGTTTCTTTTCTATGACGATAAATCAGAGGTATGCTTAATAGACTAACAATAAATTAAACCAAACAACAAAGACAGATAAAACAACAATCAACATTCATATATACGATATTTATAAGTGAGCATAACATATAAACAAGACTTAATAAATCAGTTATTTTCATGGATCTTTCAGATGTTTTACATTGTCTGGGACTTACAGCCAGAGGTGGTCTAGATCTCAACCACAGATTTTATCATATTCTGTTCTCCATAACATTGACTGGCGTCTAAAATCACATGCCAGTCCCGAGGAGTCATATGATAATTTTCAGACAAAGCATTAAGGAGTCCTTTTGTAAAAGGATTGTTAGCCCCATTTTCTCTAGTTGATGAGCCTTCCCCACACCAGAGGTGGAGGATCAGGGGCCTTAGGTTCTGTAGACTTTTTTTTTTTTTTAAACATTTTTTCTTTATTGATTAAGGTATTACATATGTGTACTTATTCCCTATTTCCACCCTCCCCCGATCGTGCTCTCACCCCCCCCCCCATCTGGGTCCATGGTTATATTTATATGCATGCAAGTCCTTTGATCTCTCCCTCTTATCCCCACCCTCCCCTACCTTCCCTCTGAGGTTTGAGCATCCTATCTATGTTTCTCTGTCTCTAGATCTGTTTTTGTCCATCCATTTATTTTGTTCATTAGATTCCACAAATGAGTGATATCATGTAATATTTATCTTTCTCTGACTGACTTATTTTGCTTAGCATATGCTCTCTAGGTCCATCCATGATGTTGTAAATGGTAGGAGTTCCTTCCTTTTTACAACAGCATAGTATTCCATTGTGTAGATGTATAATACCACTGGGTTTGTTTGTTTGTTTTTTATTAGAATTTATTAAGAATACTAGAAGCCTGATGCCCGAAGATTTATTAAGAATGTGGTTCAAGGGTCAACTGTATTTTCTAAGTATTGCAGGATCCTGAACTGCAAATCAACAATTGTTTTATTAATCTGTAGGTGAATCCCTGGTTCTATTTTTGTAAGAAGTGAATTTGTATTTTTCACCTACATTTTAAAAAAATATAAATAATACTAATATATATTTTTTATCCATTGTAACAGCTTCAGTGTCTACTAAAAAATCAAGTAACTAAAAAAATGCACAGCTCTTCCAAACATTATCTAGATTTTCTCATCACAGGAAAAATCACACAAGATTGCAACAGCATGCTCTGCTGCCACCTATTGGCTGCTACCATACCCTCCAGATATTTCCTTCTTTTGGAATCCTAAAGCAGCCTTAAAGTGCAAGCCTCAAGCCAGTGGAGTATAATCCTTCTCAGATGAAATGCTACAAGTGCCTGCAAAGAGTTCTAGCACAATCACTTTAAATCTAACGAAACTAAAGATATATGCTTGACAATTCATTTCCTAGGCACTCGCGCTCTCTCAATCTCAATCTCTAAATCGCATGCTCTCGAGCCCACACACGCTCGCGCTCGCTCTCTCTCCTCTCCCCACCCCTACCCGATGACATTTTCCCACTGACTTTTAGAGAAAGGGGAAGAAAGAGGGAAAGACAAAGAGAAATATCAGTGTGAGAGAATCACATCGATTAGTTGCCTCCTGCATGTGCCCCAACCAGAGCATGGACTGGAGGGGAGCCTGCAACTGAGGTACATGCCCTTGACTGGAATCAAACCCAGGACCCTTGGGTCCGCAAGCCAACACTCTATCCACTGAACCAAACCAGCTAGGGATAGGCTCTTTTTCTTCCTATTTTCCATTATAAATGTTATGGCTGTCTCTGAAAAAAAATAAACCAAGTACAGGTAGTGAAGTGTGTAAGGGTGAAAAACATCTTTCCCAAAACTAAATGTGTTGTCAACTGGAAATATTCTAATTAGAAACCAACAAAAAATTGTAGAACAGTAAGAACAGCTGTTTTAAATACTACAGGATTCCATACTTTGCTATTTATGTATTTTCTTCTATAAATATTCAGTAAATATTTCACCGTCATATACCAATGGAAAACTCAACCACATTACAAGAATGTACTATACTCAACTACTAAACATAGAAGGCTTTTTACTTAATACCACCCTGAAAAAAAAGTAAGCAGTAGTTGCTTCTTCTATTCTACCAAAACACTTATTAAATGACTTGCTTGGTAAATAGTCACAACATACCAACAAAAACACACACAGAGTTTAAAATGATGAACTTCAACTTCATTGGCAGTTGCTTAATTTTCTGGTCTCTCTTTTTCAAACCACATTAAATTTCAAAACACGTTCCATATTAATTCAATGAAAACAGACCACTGTGAATAATACAACAACTTTTTCATGTAGTAAGCAGAAAAATATATGCCACAAAAGAACAGTAAATAAGAAGCTCTTAAACCTGCTTTCAGATTTTAATGCACTTGTCAACAATGGCGGTACAAGGCTACATGCAAGGGTAAAAAGAAGCATACAACATGGCTCACAGTCTTCAGAGGTTGACAACATAGTCAGGAACACAAGATTCAAACATAGAAAAGGATGGACGAAATAATGAGTAGTAAATGACAAATAATTGGTATAGATCATATTTACTGCAACAGCATGAAGGGTTGAAATAGCAGTTAGAGCAAAGGTTTGCTATTCATAGGAAAGGAGGGGCTTACGCAAGAGTAAGAGCAAGGGGATCCAAGCTATTGAGAATAACAGGCGTGCAATGCTGTAGTCCAAAATAGTAAAAGCATGTTGTTTAATACAAATTATCAGACCAGCTGAGCTAAAAGAAAAATATATAGAACACGAGTGGGACAGCATTAGAAAGAAAAATGAGCTGTGGAGGGTACTGAGTCACTGAGTGTTAGACTAATGGACCCAGAAGACAATGAAAAAATCACTGGAGACTCAGTATAGGGTAACATTCCCACACTACGGAGGGGTGAGGGTCAAGGCTGTAGCAGTGTTTAACAGACTGAAGACAACTGAGGAACGAATCATGCTATTTCAGGAGTTGAGAAATAATGCTAAAAGCTTTAAGTACAATGATGAAGGGGGGTGGGGGAGGGGATGAAATTTGGTGAGGGAACAACTGGTAAAGTTAGACATATACAAGGCAGAGGAAGGAATTAAAAATGTTTTCAAAGCTTTAAAACTGGGAACAGACATACCACAAAAAGAAACATAAGACAGAAAACCGTTACTAATAAATTTTTCCAACAACTGAAATGTTTTTAAACCAAAATTCTATTTGTTTTTATTTAACACAAAACAAAACACAAATGAAAGCTACAATCAATTTCTGCAGTTGAATACAAAGAGCAATCATACTCAAATATTATGAAGAAACATCTTATACTAAAGAATAAATCACAATCTATCATAAATCTACATAAATTAGTAGCTACTTGATCCAGATCCATGTGCTATTCTTTTTGTCCAAATGACTCCCATTACTTGAATTACCATACACTTCATATTTAAAATAAATAACTAGGCAGAATAATTAACTGACACCCAGTCAGATATTCTGCCTAGTAAACTATATGAATAAATGCAACACATGCTGGACTATAGATTTCTCAAAAGGCTAATCAGCAGACTAGAAACACTAAATTGCAAACTGATCTACTATCAAATCTTTTATAAGTAAACTAGAGGCCTGGTGCATAAAAATTCATGCACTGGAGGGAGGATTCCCTCACCTCAGCTGGCCCCCCTCACAGTCCGGGAGCCCTCAGGGTTGGGAGGCGACCCGGCGATCAGGGGAAGGCGACACCCCCATCACACCTCTGCTGCTGCCACTGCCAGCAGTGCAAGCCTCCGCTGGCTCTGGTTACATGAGCCTCAGGAGGCCCTGGGTGGCTGGGCTTGCCTACGCCTTGGGCCGGCCCTGGACAGCTGGGGGGGCTGAGGGTGGGTCTGGCCGCATTGTGGGCCAGCTGCCCCCCTTCCCTGGCTGGGCTAAAAAGACTGTGGGACTGTGGCCAGGCCGCACCACTACCTACCACCTACCCCCCGGCAGAGCTAAAAGGACTGGGGGACCCTGGTGGGGCTAAGGGGATTGGACACCGCCATCTTTGTGATGGTGTGATGGCCAATTTGCATACTCTGTCTTTATAAGATAGGACTAGTGGCCCGGTGCATGGATTTGTGCACATTGAAAAGAAATAGATTAGAAGGTGGCTGGTGGAGCGTGACTGGGTGAATTGGGCTGAACATGCCCTGGAGCCAGCCTCTCTTGGTCCTTCCCCACCAGCTGCACTTGGGGCAGCACCATGCCACAGCTTGAAGGGTGTCTGCAGTTACCGCAGCTCGGCAGTAAACCAGATTCTGGGCGACAGTGCCCCAGTAACAACATGACCCACAGCCGAAGGTGGAATTGTGCAGCCCCATGAGGAGTCAGGCTCCCACTTCTCTGGTTCTGGGGTGCCAAGTCACTGCAGCTTGGCAGCTCCTCCATTGAGCGTCTGCCTCCTGATGGTCAGTGTGTGGTCATATATACCGGCCAGTCACTTAGCCTTTTATATATGTAGATACAGGCTCATACCTTTCTTTTCCTATAAGTCTCGACCAAAGTAATCAAATTTTGAAAAAAATAAAAACTATAAAATGCACTAGACAAGTTTCATTGAGTTTCTTGGTTACCTTTACTTTATCTCTTCTCAAGCAACAGAATAGACAATTTTCATCAAAAGTCCAATCAGAAATGCTTTCAGGTTCACAGTCTGCAAAAATAGTAGGAATAACAAATTAATAGTCACAAATGATAATTTTTCAGGAAACAAGAATGTCAAAAATATTATTTTAACAAAAAATTATTTACTTAATAGTAGACAGGTTCCTACTTATGTAAAATCTTAAATACTGCTTACTAGTTAATATACCTTATTCATACATATATTTTGCATTATTAACACAAAAAGATGCTTACATTGATATAGCTTTAACCCACAAAATTGAATAAAAAGGAGAAGACAAAGGCTTAAATCACTAACGTATCATGTAATCCAGGATGATTTTTAAATAAGTAAAAAAATATTTTTTTAATACCTTTAAGTAAACTGAGATCTTTTAAAAATGCAGGTCCAAACAGCCCTTCGAGAATACTTTCAAACCCTGAAAGGATGGAAAAAAATCCATTATTATAATATTCCTTTTTGTAGTTTAATATTAATCTATCGCATGAAAAAATGATGGGGTTTTCCTCCAGTTCTCAAGGATCCATAGATTATTATTGAAGAGATGCTAAGGGAAGAGTGTCAATGACAAATCTTAAAAAGAGGCTTTGCATTTTTGTCAATGATTAATATTCAATACAAATTCAGAGCACATTCAAGAACTACATAAAACAGACAATGCTAGAAATAACTAGTAAGGAATGGAAACTCATGGGTTCTCATACCATCTTCCAAAATCCCAAATACTTCTTTATAAAAACACTCAAAGTCTAAGTCAAACTGCTTCAAAGTTTCCACAACATTCTAAATTAATCAAATAGTATGTTTCTAAAATCAACTGAGACAACACATTTTTAAGCTAATAGGTTTTTTTAATATGCTTTTATTGATTTCAGAGGAAAGAAAAGGGAGAGAGAAATATCAATGACGAGAGGGAAATCATTGATGGGCTGCCTCCTGCAAACTCCATACTGGAGTTTGAGCTCACAATGGGGCATGTGCCCTTTCAGAATCAAACTGTGACCTCCTGGTTCACAGGTCTGGTATGTTCAACCACTGAGCCACACCAGCTGGGCCAAGCTAATAGTTTTTTGAAGAAGGAAAATCCTGAGAACACCAATAAATATCACTACAAACAAAAGCAACTATATAACATTTTAACAGAAAAATACCATTATTTCACATTGACACAATTAACTATTTACTGGTTCCTTTATGAAGTTAAAACCCACTAATTATACATACAAAAATATGAGAGCTCTGGACAGTGCAACTCAGTGGTTGGAGCATTGGCCCATGCACCAAAGTGTCTCAGGTTCAATTCCCACTCAAGGGCACCTACCTAGGTTGCAGGTTGGATCCCCAGCCCAGTTGGCTGTATATAGGAGGCAACCAATTGATGTGTCCGCCTCACATTGAGGTTTCTCTATGTTTTTCTCCCCTCTCTTCCACTCTCTAATAAAGAATTTAAAAAGGAGCCCAGCCAGAGTATCTAAGTGGTTGAGTGTGGACCTATGAACCAGAGGTCAATTCCTGGTCAGGGCACATGCCTGGATTGAGGGTCTGATCCCCAGTGTGGGGCTTGGAGGAGGCAGCTGACCAATGATTCTCTCTCATCACTGATGTTTCCCTGTCCTTCTCCTTTCTTCTTTTTTTAGACTTTTATTATATAGGATAGCCAGGCCCTAGCTGGTGTGGCTCAGGTGGTTGGAGTGTCTGTCAGTGGTGGGTTCAATTCTTGGTTAAGACACATACATACCCAGGATGTGTTTCTGTCCTGTCCATGTGGAAGGCAAACAAATGATGTTTCTCTCTCTCCCTCTCTCTCTCCCCCCTTCCTTCCTTATGGCCCTCCCTCTCTGTCTCCCCCTTTCTTCCTCTCTCAGAAATTAATTAATTACTATAGACAGGGAATAGCTGAGGTTCACACACATGTTGCATTTCCTTACCACAAATTCAATTACCATAAAAGGTTTGGAAGATTAGGGGTCAGATAAGATGGTCCCTGAGAACAGTATTTTATCTGGATATAAGAATAACATTGTAATTTTAGGAATTTCTTTGTCCTTAGCATTAAGCCATAATTAAAGAGTAATCTCTAGAATTTGTGTTATCTACATTGTAGTTGATTTTTCTGCACTATTTTTTAGATTCTAGATTTTCCACTAGAATTGGTTTTTAAATTCTTAATTCTTTCCCATCAAATTATATTTAAGAAACTGGGAAGTGTGTATGCCTGTTTATTATTGCCTGCTACGATTAAAACATTTTCTACTAAATTATTATGATCTTTCTTCCCCACACTAGAAAGGAGAAAAGGTTGCACTGAGGTTTTTGAGAGTGAAGAGGCAGTGGTAGGTAAGAGAATGAAAAGGACTTGCTAGATATAATCTATCTCTGCAAACTAGATAGTCCCAACACTAGCCTTAAAAAAAGGCTATAGGATGCCTCTAACTCTAAAACTCTTCTACCCCCCCCCCAAAAAAAGAATTGATTTTACAAATATTTCAATATCTTGAAAGTGCAAAGTACACATTGCAAATAGCTAAATGAGATTACAGATGGCTCTTATCCTGAAGAGCAAATCTAATTTGCTTGCACCTGGGTTTTTAAGAAATCATAACAAATTCAAACTTGTATGCTAACCATAAATTCTTGAAAAGGAAAAATGTAAATACAGCAAGAACGAATATTGGGGGGAAAAAATAAAACAAAGCTTTAGAAGATCAAATTTTAAAAATTACTAAGGACAATGGAACCTGAAAGAATAAGAAAACAGAAAAAAAAACTTCATCAATAACACAATAAACAATAATAAAAATCAAATCACAGAGCAAAAAGCAGTGAAAGGGAAAGAAGGAAATGAATCAAAAAATCTGGTCATCGCTTCTCGGCCTTTTGGCTAAGATTATGTGTAGTATCTGTTCTTACCAGTTTAAAAAATCTGGTCATAAAGCTAGTATTTGATCAAAACACTAAAGTCACTTGTCTTTTGCTCATATCTGCAACAATACATTAAATCTCACAGATATTATTGATTTGACACTGTAAAGCCATATTTTGCTACCCTCTGTTAACTGAACTTAATGCCACTCAATTTTATTAATATTAAATATTGGATTTAGCAGTTGCATAGCAACAAGGACTGTCTCATGTGCTATGCTTGACATTAACAAAAGGCAAATAAGGGAAGAACAAATGTATTCAAAATTTATACCATGATCTCATAGAAAAGCCAACAAGATCAATATCAAAATGTCATGGAAAATTAAATACTGAAAAAGATAGCCATGTCATTATGTTCAATCACTAGGATTTAAAAAGCACTTTTATGTAATATATTACATATAAAGAAATATTAATAATTTTACTGAACATGATCACTCTCCAAGAATTCCTATCCAACATTACAACTGGTCTCAAAGCTGGTCTTTAGACTCTTCCTCACTGCAGCCTGCACTATGTCTTCAGGTTGCATTCCTAAAGCAACACTTTAACAATGCTACCATCTATTCACAAAAGTTTACATTATTTAAAAAACAAATCCCAAATTCCTAAATCCAGCAATCAAAGCAGCTTATAATTTGACCCCAGCCTACTGTTAAAAAGCAGCCAGTTTCACAGAACCTTCCTGCTCATTCTCACAGCTTCAATCATTTCTACCTCCTAATATTTTCTCAAGCCTTTGCATCTGATCTCTGCCCAAATAAATTATCTTCTTAAAGGCACTCTTCAACTTGCTTAAAAATACACATTCGCTTATTTTTTATACATTAACCAAGAGCCTGCCTGCCAACCAGGGACAGTGGCTGGCACTGAGTAGGCAGTGGTGAGCTGACATGATGCCTGCCCTCATGGAGCTTCAGTTTCTAATTTTTTTCATCTTCAGAATTCACATATCATTTCCTCCTTTTAAGTAAATGTCAGCTGCCTTATGTTTTCTGTCATGTGTAAAGTACTGTCTATATAAATATTCTATAAAGTTAAGTTTGTTATAGACTATCTAAACCCTGTCTTATTTTTCATACATTTGTATCTCATCTCCTCACTGAGATTTAATGCTCCAGAAAAGATGGAAAGGTCTTCCTGTTTCCCACAATGTTTCTTATACTAGGGCTTTATATGTCTGATTTTGAGCTTCTGGTTTAATCAGAAAACTCTGGGAAGGGGGGGGAGATTAAAATTTCTCACATATTTTTCACATGTTTCCCTCTTCAATCTAAATCAGAATCTCTTCTCCATTTCTAACTGAAGGAGGGAAGGCAGGTCATGAAAATTAACAGGACAGGAACATATCATATGCAAACTAACTAAGGTAAGCAACACAGCCTGTACTTTTGAAATAAAGAAAAAATTATTGAATGAAAAATGGTTCCTGGGTTTTAGGAACCTCTCCTCTGAGATACCAAGTTAGCAATTTGAGAAACTAAAGGATGCTGAAGAAAAACTAGGAGCAGCCGGGACTGGTTTGGCTCAATGGATAGAGCGTCGGCTTGGGGACTGAAAGGTCCCAGGTTCGATTCCAGTCAAGGGCATGTACCTTGGTTGCGGGCATATCCCCGGTGGGGGGTGTGTAGGAGGCAGCTGATCGATGACTCTCTCTCATCGATGTTTCTAACTCTATCTCTCTCCCTTCCTCTCTGTACAAAATCAATAAAATATATTAAAAAAAAAACAAAAAAAAAACTAGGAGCAGATCAGAAAATTAGCAATTTTTGCATCAAGGTCCCTTGGGTACTTTGTACAACTTGATGCTTGGTATAAAAGAGCTCAATTTTCAACTGAGTATTTTTACTTCATAAAATATCAGTTCAAAGGCGCCTGCTAGGAACAATCACCTATTAATTTACTACTATGTAATAAAAGCCTAAGAGACCGTTACCGTGGAACGACCAGAATAACTGGTCGCTATGATGTGCACTGACCACCAGAGAGCAGGCGCTCAACACAAGAATGCCCCCTGGTGGTCAGCATGCTCTCACAGGAGTGGTGCCTAGGCTCACGACTGGCAAGCTGGGCTCATGACTGGTAAGAGCAGCAGCCAACTGGCCTAAGCCAGCAGTTGGACACCCCTGAGGTTTCCTGGACTGCGAGAGGATGTAGGCGGGGCTGAGGGAGCCCTCCCCCCCCTCAGTGCATGAATTTCGTGCACCAGGCATCTAGTGTCCTAATAAGCAAAGATGGCACTGACATTATCTGGAATTCTTTGCTTATAACTCCAGGGTGTTATTACTTTCTGACATACATCACACTGAACTCCAAGTAAGCCCCAAAATAAAAGTAATTAAAAGCACCAGGTTTTATAATCTTTTCTGTTTTACCCAAGATAACATAAGACAATTAACAACTCTTCATTGATGTTCCAGCTATCTCAGTATGTCGTGCAACTAAAGAAATGCACATGAACTTCCACAGGTAATGATAAAAAAACAGGCTCCTCTTCTTTAGGCCAGTGGTTGGGAGCGGCTCTGTTGACTAATGAATTTACCAACCACTGATCTAGACTCTCCATTCCAATAATTATAGGCTATTGTTGTTACTTGTGATCAAGCCCCTATCCAGTGATTGGCAAACTCACTAATCAACAGAGCAGCAAACCGTGGCTTGTGAGCCACGGTTTGCCAACCTCTGCTTTAGGCAATCCATCCGACCACTGGACAACTATAATACATTCATTTAGAGTTCTTCCTCTCTCTCTGAGCATCTGTTCCTGGCCCAGGCACTTTGAGAAACCCATTTGCTGACCTGGCTCACTTATTACCCTCAGAATAACACAGCATGAGAAGTGATGAAAAAATTTGATCAGATATACTGAAGAGAAACAATATCTAATTACAACTAACGCACAAGCTGAAACATAATTAGTGAAGAAAAAAGTATACTAGAACTTGAAGAAAAATTATAAATAGTATTTCTACTGAGACCAGGAAGAAATGGCATTTTTTTTTTTTTTTTTAAAGCAAGCGACTGTAAAAAGAGTGAAAAATATGTTTGGTGGAGGGGAAAAAGAAAAACAAAACTGCCAAAAGAACCAAAACCAGGTACTGAGTAGGAAAATATACAATCAATTAGTGACTTAGAAAACCAACTTAAGAAATGTTTTCATAATGTATACAGAATCTGAAGATACAGAAATAAATCCTGAGAAAAAGATGAGAGACGTGGACGTAATATTCAGTATCTGTAAAATAGGATTTTCAGAACAAGGAAAGGCAATAAATACAAATAAGAAATTGAAAATTGAAAAAACTAGGTGGGAGGAGGAGAAGAAAAAAAAACAAACTTCCTAACATTAAAGAGTGTCTTGAGTCTTCATTATCTAATGGGCTCTGAGAAGTACTGGGACAGAATCCCTGGGAGGGAAAGCGCACACATACATATATAACTCTCCTGGTAAAATAACTCAATTTCAAGAATAAAAATTTAAAAGCTCCAAAGAAGGGGAATCTTTACTTAATTTTACTTAAACTAAGAGGAAAAAGACTTAGACTGTTAAGTTATTTTATCAGTAAACGTAAATGCCAAAAGCCAATGGAGCTATGTTCACAAAATTCTGAGGGTAAAAAAACAATAAACTTTTTGTACCTAATTTATTATTCATAGACATGGGTAAAAGAAATTACTAGATATGCTCTGATTTGGAAAGACAGCCATTCATTCTGAGGTAGGTTACATAAAGTAGTTCAGCTAAGTAAAAAATGACTCAGAACAAAGACCTCAAAAAAGGAGAAAATATTGCATATGTACACATATATATATACATACATACACATATCTATATATATCTACACTGAGGCCTGATGCACAAAATTCATGCATGGGGGAGGGGAGTCTCCTCAGCCCAGCCTGCACCCTCTCCAATCCTGGACCCGTCTGGGGATGTTGGATCCCAGAGATTAGGCCTAAACCGGCAGTAGGACATCCCTCTCACAATCCTGGACTGCTGGCTCCTAATCGCTCACCTGCCTACCTGCCTGCCAAGTCACCCCTAACTGCTCCTCCCCTGCCGACCTGGTTGCCCCTCACAGCCCTCCCCGCCAGTCTGGTTGCCCCTCACAGCCTGCTGTTCAGACGTTTGGTCATCCCTCACTAACCCCTCTGCCGGCCTGGTCTTAGGCAGCCATCTTTGTGAGGGTATGATGGTCAATTTGCCTATTACTTCCTTCTTACATAGGACTAAAGGCCAGGGGCATGAAATTTGTGCGGCGGGGTTGGGGGGAGGTGTCCTTCAGCCCAGCCTGCATCCTTTCCAATCTGAGACCACTTGGGGGATGTCCAAGTGGACATCCCTCTAACAATCCAAGACTGCTGGCTCCTAACCACTCACCTGCCTGCCTGCCTGCCTGATTGCCCCTCATCACTTCTGCCTGCCAACCTGATCACCCCCCAACTGCTTCCCTGACAGCCCGATGGCTCCCAACTGCCCTCCCCTGCCGGCCTGGTCACCCACAACTGCCCACACCTGCCAGCCTGATCTCACCCCCAATTGCCCTCCCCTGCCAGCATGCTGGCCCCCAACTGCCCTTCTCTGCCAGCCTGGTCGCCCCCTACTGCCCTCCCCTGCTGACCATCTTGTGGCAGTCATCTTTGAGGCAGCCAGCTTGTGATGATGTGAGGGCAGCCATCTTGTGATGACATTGCGAGAGGGTGTGATGCCACCTAGGCTTTTATTATATGGGATATATATATACATACAGCTGGCATGGCTCGGTGGTTGATTGTCCACCTATGAAGAACCAAGAGGTCGTGGTCTGATTCCAGATCAGGGCATATGGCCGGGCTGGAGGCTCAATCCCCATTGTTGGGTGTGCCAGAGGCAGCTGATGAATGATTCTGTCTCATCATTAATGCGTGTGTGTGTGTGTGTGTGTGTGTGTGTCTCTCTCCCTCTCTCTCTCTCTCTCTCTCTGAAATCAAAAAAATATATATATATATAGGAAAAGTGGCAAGCACTATACCAGTATTAGTTAAATATAGTTTACTAATATAGGGATTCAGTTTTTATTATATCAACTAGTGGCCTGGTGCACAGATTCATGCACATTGAAAGGAAATTAATTAGGCCCTAACTGGTTTAGTTCAGTGGATAGAACATAGGCCTGCGGACTGAAAAGTCCCAGGTTCGATTCTTGTCAAGGGCATATACCTTGGTTGTGGGCACATCCCCAGTAGGATGGCCGATGCTCCATCCACTGAGCCAAAATGGCTAGGGCAGGATCCTTTCTTTTTAAGGCTGAATAATATTCCATTGAGGCATATATCAAATTTTGCTTATCCATTCATCCATTGATGGACATTTGGGTTGCCTGCCACCTCTGGCTATTAGAAATAATGCTGCTATAAATCCCTTATCTTTTTTTTTTTTTAATTATAAATCATGGAACTGAACAAAAAAACAATCTTTATAATAGATATCTAAATACAATATCATTTTTAAATGAAATTATGTGTACATAGCTGTACTGATAAAAATAAGTCCACTCATCAAAAACTATACAACAGCAAATCCAAATGCAAGGATATTCTTCTAAATTCCATTTCATCAAGCATCAAAAACCACCAATCTTTTAGTCCTTTTCTTGTACATTATTCTGTACCCACATTCTCTGCATCTGATTGGATTTCTGGATTTTATTTCATTTTCTGCATGACATTCTCCACAGATATAGATCATTGGCTGCTGCTTAGGGGGTTGGATGTCCTTCTGGGTGTCCATTGTTAGTCCTCAGGACCGACACTCTTCCCTCGCCTAAATCCCTTATCTTTTGATATTCAAAGGAACTCATCCAAATCCAGACCTCTATCTAAATCCTGTATTTCCTAAATCTCTTTTACCTATAGTTACAATCTTCATTTTGGCAATATTTGTGTGTGTGTTTTAATCAATCAATCTTGCCAGATTTGTTTTCTAAGGTTTTATTTTCCCCCCTCCCCAAATCCACTTTTGACTGTTTTTTAATCTTTATCATATCTTTGTTTTTTAAATTTTTTAAAATATATTTTATTGATTTTATACAGAGAGGAATTGAGAGGGATAGAGAGTTAGAAGCATCAACGAGAGAGATACATTGACCAGCTGCCTCTTGCATACCCCCCACTGGGGATGTGCCTGCAATCAAGGCACATGCCCTTGACCGGAATCGAACCCGGGACCTTCCGGGACCTTTCAGTCCGCAGACCAACGCTCTACCACTGAGCCAAACCGGTTTCGGCCATATCTTTGTTTTCTAATTCATTAATTTTCATTCTAAATTTCATTATCTTTATATTTCCTTTGGATTTATTCTGTTATTCTTTTTTTTAAATATATTTATTTATTTTAAAGAGGAAAGGAGCAGAGAGATATAAACATCGATGAGAATCATTGATTGGCTGCCTCCTGCACACTCTCCTGGGGATCAAGCCTGCAACCAGGGCATGTATCCTGACCAGGAATTGAATCCTGACCTCCTAGTTCATAGGTCAATGCTCAACCACTGAGCCACTCTGGTTGGGCCTATTATTCTTTTTCCTAAGTTATGATAGTTCGGTTCACTTTTTTTTTTTTTTGCTTTAACAAAGAATAAAGTACAGGAGTGATTTAAGAGAACTAAATTTTTAATTATTTTGTATTAAGAAGCAATCTAGGATAAGTAAAATGTAATATATCCAAATAATGGAATACTGCCCTGCCAAACCTTTTATGACTTTCCACTGACAATATTGAAAACTTCACATTCCTGGATGACATGCAATATCACCAAGTTCTCTCTTAGTCCCAAACTACTTTTAGTCTCCCCTACCACTATTTTCTGTCACATAAACTATGCTCTGGCCAGACTGATTAATCTATATCTATATATCTATATCTATCTAATCTATATATCTATATCTATATCTATATATATACCTAATATGCAAAGTGTCCCCTCAGGAGTTCAATTGCTCGCTATGACATGCGCTGATAACCAGGGGGGCGGCGCAGAACGAAGGGAGGCCCCAGCTGGCAGGCTCTAGGGACCCAACCCATGCACAAATTTCATGCACTGGGCCTCTAGTCATTACATAATACTTTTTAAGGACAGCATGTCCTCTGACTAGAATGTTCTCCTGTAAGCCTCAATCTACTTAATTCTAAGGCATCCTTTATCTCATCCCACAAGCCCCAGGCAAAGTTAGGAACATCTTCATCAGTGGTGAAGTTGAACTGCTTATAAACTATAATTTTGGGGGCACTTTATCCACTAGATATTGAGCAAATAAATGAAGCTTATTCTTTTATTTTTTTTTAACATCAGCCTGTTCCTTAAACTGCAGTCAATACTGTTTGTTGGATGAATGCAAAAACAACTTTCTTAATTCCTATATCCTTATATTTACATGAGTGGTTTGAAATTCCATAATGGCTCCATTTTGTGTAACTGTCATGTTGAAAATCCACAGAAATAGAAATAAAACAGAAGGGTAGTTGATATCTGATAGAAAAAGGATAGTTTTCTGCTCCAGCTCAACCAAGTTTCCTGTATCTATGAACTAAAACCAGAACATAATTAATGGCTTGCTTTGCTGGCCCATCAACAGAGATGACAGGATACTTTTGTCTGTGTGCAAAGCTGTAACTTCAGCAAAGACAGAAATAAATTACGAAAGATGAAGTCCTATACAACAGTGAAATTAATAGATTAAGGAGAAAAAGAAATATGGATTGAATAGCTGGAACATTACCAAAATAATTTAATATAATTATGTCTATCATACATACCTAATTCCATAAATAAGGTTCTAAGATGTTAAGTAACCAAAATCATACAAATAGTAAATAGCTAGTTCAGATGAATTTAGTTCTTTGGAAATCCAAGGGCAGTTTTGGTTCATTTTTCCAGTGATAACAAACTGTCTTCAGCAGAGTAATTATGCTAAAAAGAAGCCATTTAAATGCAAATCTAAAGTTGATTAGGAATGAGTCAATTACACGAACGAGTTCACAATCTATGGGCCAAAATTCCTTAGAGAAACTCAAGCCATTACAAGGTCAGTAAATCCATATGAGCACTGTTTATAAATTAAGTAAAAAATGTGCTTGCATATACAACCACTACTCTACTGAACAAAATACATATTTCTTTTAAAAGCATTACTGAATTCATAATATCCTTTTATTATATTTTCTCAAAGATACTAAAAATGCAATGCAATATGGGAGACCAGCCTTTTTGGCCTTTTTGTTTGTTAGTTTTTTAGATTAATGAAGCAAAAAGAATTTCTATTATTTCTAAGACTCTGTTCCTTGGTGGACTACAGGTATTGTGTCTACTATGAGTCAGGCACTAGGAATGCAGCTATGAATAACACAGACAAAAGTCCCTATCTTGTAAACTTTAAGGCAGGGGAGAGAAATGATACAAATGATAAGAATGGTGATAAGGAGAAGCAGGAGAACATAGCAGAGTAGGGGGTAACAACAAACCCTGATAAGCTCTGGTTGATAACTCTGAGAACTGCTGGGTAGGGACTAAGGAGAATTTTTTAAGGAGGCAACATTTTTGGATACTGAATGAAATGAGGAAGCAAACCTTGTAGGTATCCAGGACAGGAACATTCTAGGCAGAGGGCACAACACTAAAGCAATACATAGAGTGAAGTATGACATATTTGAGAAACAGCAAGAAAGTTGTTATGACCTGAGCAAATAACTAAGATTGAAAGTAGGAAATAAGATCAAAGATCTAGAAACAAGATCATGGTGAGGAGATTGGATTTTGAATTTAATACAAATCCACTAGGTTTACATTTAGGTGGTAGTGGAGGCAATATGATCAGATTTCTATTATTTAAAATTTCCAGGTGAATATATGGATAACTAATTATGAGGAAAGCATTATTAAGAGACTATTATATTACAACAGCTTTACAGCGACATCTTGGCGTGGGGACTCGGGCGTGATGACTAAGGCGGAGGAGGATGCATAGGGCCCCTTCCATGCCAGATGCTCACACTTCAATAGCCGGCCAGGCCTAGGGACTGCACCCATAAATGAATTTCGTGAATTGGGCCTCTAGTATAATGTATAAAGATGTAATTTGTGATAACAACAACATGAAGTATGGGGAACAGACATATAAGAGCACAGTACTGTATATACTATTGAAACTAAGTTATTAATTTGAAATACATTCTTAAAGTTAAGAGGTAATTATATATCCCCCAGGGAAATACTAAGAAAATTACCAAAAAATGTATAGTAATAGAAATAAAAAGAAAATACCAGAAGTATTTATATAACACAGAAGTCAATATGGAGGACTTAAAGAACAAAGGTAAAGATATGTAAAAAACAAATAGCAAAATGGCAAAGATCCTTTCTTATCAATAATTACATTAAATTTAAATGGATTAAACTTTCCAATTAAAAGGCAGAGATGGGGAGATTGGAAAAAAGACATAAGCCAACTATATCCAATAGACTCACTTTAGATCCAAGGACACAAAGAGGTTGAAAGTGAAGGAAAAGAAAAAGAGTCAATGAAAACGGAAACTGAAAGAGAAATTGAATGGATATACTAATATTAGACAAAATAGGTGTTAATATAAAACTTGTTACAATAGACAAAGAAGAATATTACATGATAAAAAGTCAATTAAGAAGATTTAACAATTAAAAACATTTACGTACCTAAAACATTTATGCATCCCCAAAATATATGGGAAGCAAAAAATGACAGAATTGGAAGAAATTCTCAACAATAATACTTTGTAGACTTCAATATCCCACTTTCAATAATGGATGAAGCAACCACATAAAAGACTTGAACAACACTTAAGTCAATTATACTTAACAAACATACATGGAACACTCCACTCAGTAAGTGCAGAATATACATTTTTATCAAGTACACATGAAACATTATCCAGGGTAGACATGTTATATCACAAAATAAGTCTCAAAAATTTTAAAAAGTTGGAAATCATACCTTGTGCCTTCTCCAAAATTAATGTAATGAAATTCAAATTAACAAGAAAATGGGAAATTCATAAATAAAGCACATTCTTAACCAATGAGCCAAAGAAGTAATCACAATGAAAATATAAAATACTTTGAGATGAAAAAAACAAAAAAACCCAAAACATACATCTGGGATGAAGCAAAAGCAGTGCTCAGAGGAAAATTTATAGCTGTAAATACCTTCATTAAATAAGAATATCACAAAAAAACATAACTATCTACCCTAAAAATTAGAAAAAGAAGAAACTAAATACAAAGCAATTTTAAAAAAGGAAATAATAAAGATAGGGCAAAGATTTTTAAGAGTGAGTAGAAAATAAAGAAAAATTAGTAAAAACAATATGTCTTTGAAAAGATTAACACAATCGACAAACCATTAGCTAGATTGACCATAAAAAAAGACAACTTACTAAAATCAAGAATCAAAGTGGAGACATCATTACTGACTTACAGAAATAAAATGGATTGCAAAAGAATACTATAGCTCTAGCCGTTTGGCTGAGTAGCTAGAGCAGTGGTCAGCAAACTGTGGCTCGCAAGCCACATGTGGCTCGTGAGCCTCAGTTTGCCGCTCTGTTGACTAATAAGTTTGCTGACCACTGTTTAAGGAAAAACTTAAAAAACATTTTAATAATGTGCTAATGTCTTTAAACTGAAGTCAAAACTTCTGGGTATGGGTAATGCCTTAGCAGTGGTCAGAAAACTCAGCCAACAGCATGGCAAAGCACGGCTCACAAGCCGCAGTTTGCCAACCAGTGAGCTAGAGCATTGACCTGCAGACTGATTGGCTTGCAAACTGAGGGTCCCAGGTTCAATTCTAGTCAAGGGCACATGCCTGGATTGCAGGCTAGGTGCCTAGTAGAAGTTGTGCAGAAGGCTGCCAATAGATGATTCTCATCACTGATGTTTCTCTGTTTTCCTTCCTTCTTTCCTTCCTCCCTCCCTCCCTTTCTCTCCTTTCTTCCCTCTCTTCTTCTCCCTTTCTCTCTGAAATCAATAAAACTATATTTAATTTTAAAAAATACTATAAGCAAGTGTCTGCCAACATATAGTCACACAGATGTTTCTAGGCAATACCTAGAAACAAACTACCAAAACTGACTCAACAAGAAGTAAAAAAGCCTGATGGACCTGTAACAAGTAGAGATTAAAACAGTAATTTTTAAAAACTGACCAAGTCCTCCTGTGTACTGAAAAGCTGCCTATTGATTTTGGGTCAGGATACATGCCTGGGTTACGGGCATCCATCCCCAGTAGGGGGTGTGCAAGAGGCAGCTGATGTAGTGTGCTCACTACGTTTCCCTCCTCCCTTCCACTCTATCTAGAAATCAATGGAAAAAATAGCCTCTAGTGAGGATTACAAACAAAAGAAAACAAAACCCTGACAAAGAAAAGCCAAGGGCCATATGGCTTCACTGATGAATGCTGACAAACATTTAAAGAATAACATCAATGTTTCGCAAACTCTTCCAAAAAAGTAGAAGAGGAAAATATATTTCCTTAACTCATTCCATGAGGGTACCTTACCCTGATACCAAAGATAAAGATTTCACAAGAACAGAAAACTACATTCCATTATCCCTCATTAATATAGATAAAAGAATCCTCGACAAAATACATACTAGCAAACCAAATTCAACAGAATATTAAGAGAACTATAGGCCAGGGATTTATTTATCTCAGTAATGCAAGGATGGTCCAATATACGAAATCAATCAATTGAAAAAAATTAATCATCATGTTAATAGAACGAAAGGGAAAAAATAGCAATGATTATCTCAACTGACAGAAAAGCATTTCACAAATTCCAAAACCTTTTCGTAATAAAAACACTCAATTTAAAAATAGAAAGAAGCTTTCACAACATAATAAAGACCATCTATGAAAAACTCAGCTACCATAATAGCAGAATACAAAGCTTCCTACTAAGATGAGGAACAAGACAAGGATATTTACTCTTGCCATTTCTATTCAACATTGTTTGGAAGTTCTAGACAGTGCAATTAGGTAAGAGGAAAATAAATAACAAGCATCCAAATTGAAAAGCAAAAACTAAACCTAACTCTTTTTGCAAATATATCTTATACACAGAAAATCCTAGCCCTGCCTGAGTGGCTCAGTTGGTTGGAGCACTGTCCCCTATACCAAAAGGTTGCAGGTTTCATTCCTGGTCAGAGCACATAGGAAAAACAACCAATCAATATTTCCTTCTCTCTCCCTTCCTCTTTAAAACATTTCAAAAAAAAATATCCCGTCCTAGCTGATTTGGCTCAGTGGATAGAGCATTGGCCTGTGGACTGAAGGGTCCTGGGTTCGATTCTGGTCAAGGGCATGTACGTTGGTTGCAGACTCCTGGCCCTGATAGGGGGCATGCCAGAGGCAACCAATAGATGTGTCTCTCTCACATCAGTGTTTCTCTCTGTCTTTTCCTCTTCCTTCAACTCTCTCTAAAAATCAATGGGGAAAAAATATCCTCACATGAGAATTTAAAAAAGGAAAATTAAAAACAAAAAACAAAAATATCCCCAAATATCCTTGGGTGAAGATTAAAAAAAAAAAAAAGTCCTAGACAGTCCACGGAAAAACTACGTTCAACAAGATTGCAGGATACAAGAACATACAAAAATCAGTTATCTTTTTATACACTAACAATGAACATCTGAAATTAAGAAAATAATCCCACTTAGAATAAAGAATAACAGCAAGAATAAAGTACTTAGAATAAATTTAACCAAGAAGGTAGACGACTTGCACACTAATAACTACAAAACAATGAAAAAGCCATGCTGTCCAACCACGGAAGAAAGGCCATGGGAAGACATAGTGAGAAAGTGGGTATCTACAAGCCAGGAAAGGAGTACTCAACAGAAACCAACTATACTGAGCCTTGGTCTGGGGGTTACGGTCTCCAAAAGTATGAGAAGATACATACCTGCTGTTTAAGTCATCCAACCTTTTGTTATGGCAGCCTGAGTTGATTAATACAGTAATGAAATACAGGCAGTCCTCAGGTTATGTCAGACTCAACATATGTCGTTTCATGGTTACATTGGCATCTCCCATTTCTTTATTAAAAAAAAAAGTTCTGTCATTTCAACGTATGTACATATGTGCTTTATTTACAAGTAAAGGTCAGGAATTGTTTCTTTTAAATTTTTCTTTTAAATTTTTGTTGTTTCACTTTACTACTGCTGTGTATGTGCTCCAAGTAAAGAGCTATATTAAGAGAACTATTTAAGCGCTATGTAGGTAGGTTCTGAATTATGGCAAAAATACATCGCACTGTAGAAACAAATCTCCAATGTAACCAAGGACCTACTGTACTGATGTGTACAACAACATGGATGAATCTCAAAAATACTATGCTAAATGAAAGAAATCAGATACAAAAGACCATATATTGTATGACTATTTATATGAAACTAGAGGCCTGGTGCATGAAATTCATACACTAGGGGTTGGGGGGAGCCCTTTGGGGAATGTCCACCTAAGCCAGCATGTGGATATCCTCTTGCAGTCCAGAACCCCTCGATTCTAACCACCCGCCTACCACAGAGTCAGGGAGAGGCTCCCGCCACCTCCACTGCGCTCACCTGCCATGAGCCCGGCTTCTGGCTGAGCTGGGGGGAATCACTGCTCAACCAGAAGCTGGGCTCTCTGCTCCTTAGCGCTGGTCCCCGCCCCACCCCCCCCCCCCCCACACACACACTGGTGTGTGGTGCAGGGCAATCGGGGACCAGGCCAGCTGGAGGAGGGGGCCAGAGGAGGTTCAGGCACTGCAGTCGTGCCTCATCCTGCCTCTGCAGAGGCACCCAAACCGCCATGGCTGGCCTGGCAGTGCAGGCTCACTGGCCCCACCCAACCCAACCCCTGCCCACTGGTCGTGCTAGAAAGTAGTTCTGGAAGATCATTCTGCCATCTGGTCTAATTAGCATATTAATTCTTTATTATTTAGGATGTTCAGAATAGATAAAATCCATAGAAACAGAAAGAATATTAGTGGATGGGTAAGGGAAAATAGGGAGTGACTATGTGGAGACATACCTCACTTTATTGCACTATGCTTTGCTGTACTTCAAAGATACTGCATTTTGCTTTTTGTTTTGTTTTTTACATATTGATGGTTTGTTGCAGCCTTGAATCGTGCAAGTCAATCAGCATTATTTTTCCAACAGGCTCAGCTGATGATTATAATTTTTTAGCAATAAAGTATTTTTAAATTATGTGCATTGCTCTTTTCGACAATGCTATTAGACAATAGACTACAGCAGTGGTTGGCAAACTCATTAATCAACAGACCCACAGTTTGCCGACCACTGAACTATAGTATAGAGTATGCACCGGGAAAATAAAATAATTGTGCAGCCCGGTTTCACTTTGTTGCTGTGGTCCTGAACCAAAACTGCAATATCTCCAAGGTATGCCTGTAATGGGTACAGAATAGCTCTTTGATGTGATAAAATGCCAGGAAATTGGATAGTGATGATTACTGTACAACATTTGAATGTTCTAAAAGCTACTGATTTACACAGTTTAAAATAGTTAAAATATCATTTCTTGTCCTTTAGGCTATGATCAAATGTAAATTTATTAAAAGTTAATTTTACTTTAATTTTAAAAAAAATATTGAGCCTGGCTGGTGTGGCTCAAAGTAAATGCAAAATGAATTTAACCACGAGGTATCTCTTAATACTTACTGGGATGGCTAAAAAGGAAAATAACAAGTGTTGAGCGTGGACCTATGAACCAGGTTACTCACTGTTCCATTCCTGGTCAAGGCACTTCCCAGGTTTATGGGCTCAATACCCAGTAGGGATTATGCAGGAGGCAGCCAATCAGTGATTCTCATCAAAGATATTTCTATTTCTTTTTCCCTCTCTCTCCTATGAAATCAATAAAAATATATTAAAAATAAAATAAAAAACAAATATTGAAAGATACAACTTCGGGGACTCTCAAAGGTATTATGCTGAGAGAATGAAGGCAGTCTCAAATGGTTACATTCTATGTGAGTCATTTAATATACATTCTCAAAAAGTCAAAACCATAGTGATGATGACAAGATGAGAGGTTGCCAGAGGCTTGGAGAAGGATGATTACAAAGGAGAGCACAAGGCAGTTAGTTGCTGAAAGTGATGGAGCTATTCTGGACACACAAATTTATACATGTAATAAAATTCCTAGACAAAATGGTGAACTTTCTATGTTAATTTAAAAGTAAAATTTTTGCTACAAAATAATCCATTGGTCTATATTGCCCTTGGAAAGGATCCCTGACCCATGCTTGATTTGTGACATCAAGTATTGGCCATATGGAAAGTTCACTAAGTTATGTGAATTACACACACACACAAAAATCACTTATAACCATAGTCTGTCGAACATTTTCTCCAAGTAAAATGGTATTCTATGAAAAAAAACAAACACCTAGTTTAGCTCATACTCAATCATGAGTACTTCATGCATATTTTCCACTTCATCACATAGAATACTAACAAGACGTGTACTCAATGGTCAACATTTAGTAAAAACATTTAATAAATGGTCAACATTTATTACTACCTCATCCAGGGTATTTTTAGGTAAAAATGGCATTTTTTATTGTGTATGGCAGTGGAAGGCTATAATGAATACTCCAGTGGTTTGGTGCCACTGCCTTGATTTGTGCACCAGCTGTCTGCATCAGCAGTTTGAACCACCACTTTCTTGCAACATATGTACAAATATCAACACAGTGCAAAGGATAAGTAACATCTTAATACCATAATGAAAATAATTCTGACCTTACAGATCCCTGAAAGGGTCTCAGGAACCACAAGTGGAATCCATGAACCACATTGTGAACTGGGATGATCAAGTCAATCCATTTGTGTCAATTTTCTTGCCCTGTCTATTATAGCTGGAATTAATAGTTATATTTTCAGAATACTGCTGCCATTTCTTTGGTTCTCTATTTGCTGAGGAAAATAATATAGGGTTACTTGGCTACAGATAGTAAACAAACAGGTACTTTTGACAGGAGAAGTGTAAGCACTACGATACTTCAGCAAAATTTAGTCTAACTTTACAAGTGCTCAGAGAGAGATGCAGAGGAGAATTTACAGATGGCATAAGACTACATAAACAGTTCAGGTAAAATATCTTAAGACTGTGCAAAATAGATGTTAGTACTTTCAAGTTAGTACATTCAAGTACATTGTTAATACACTTAAGGGGGAAAAAATCTTTATATAATCTTCTGACTCTACAATAACTAAAAGTGTGTTTATTACAGCTAAAAGAACACCCAAATAGTTGGATATATTTGGGAAGAGAATTGTACACTAAATGATATCTCTACTATATAGTAATGAATGGATCCTTGAAATCCAATGTCATTCAAGAACAGTAAGTATAAAGGACTAGAATGACACATGACAAAATCTTTAAAACCACTAAGGGGTTGCCCTAGCTGGTTTGACCGTAGACTGAAGGGCAGCAAATTCAATTCTGGCCAAGGACATGTACCTAAGTAGCAGGCTCGATACCTAACCCTGGGTGGGATGCGTGAGGGAGACAATCAATTGATGTCTCTCTAGCACATCAATGTTTCTCTTTCTCTGGCTCTCCCCCTCCCTTCCACACCCTCTAAAAATCAATGAAAAAATATCCTCGGGCAAAGATTAAACAATAAATAATAAATATCACTAAGGGGAACATATTAAATCAAGAAATATTAGAACAAATATTTGCATATTTGTAAAATGTAAAAACAATGTTCCTTATTAAAACATTGTTTAAAATGTGATAGATTAAGGGAACAGGCTGATAATAACCAGATGGGAGTGGCAGTTACAAAATCATCATGAGATATAAAGTATAGCATAGGGAATAGAGACAATAATATTATAATAACTATGTACAGTGACAGGTGAGTATGAGATTTATTGGGATATCACTTCATAAATTATTTAAGTGACTAACCACTAATATAATTTTCAATGTCACTGAAACTAATGATATTCAATGTCAACTTAATTGAAAAATTAAAATAAATAAAAAGTATGTAATAGGCTGACTGTTATTTTCAAAGCAATTTTTAATATAGTAACTCTTCAAAGCATTTTCAACGACCAGAAATTTGAGAACTGCTTCTCTAGGACATCAAAACTCAGAGAAAATTCTATAGGAAGACAAAGTCAGTTCATTAAACAAAAATAATCAAATTAGTGCTATTCAAAGAGAAAGAGAAAGAGAAAAAGAGAGACTATCTTGAGAAATGATTTACCAAACACTAAAATGTGCTAACATTTAATGGGTAACTAGTTTTTAAGAGGAACTTCCCCTCTAATAAGAGTCTATAAATTATGGTACTATGAATACTAGCTAGTATTCTCAGTTGAAATGCCACTGCATCACATCACAACAGAAGAACAGATTTGATATATGCTACATACCATATCCATAACAGCACATGTAAATACCATTATCATTTATTTTGCATATTAAATCTACTGTGATAACATTAAGCTATATTATAAAACTTGACATTATTATATGTAATATTCTTAATAATTCTGAGATAGGTACTATTACTATGCTCCATTTACGGTCAGATACTGAGTCAAAGAGGTATAAAAAAAAGAATCTGGGTTTCAAATTTGGGTATTTTCCTTAGGAGACTTGGACAAACCTTTTCTGTACACGTCCAGACAGTAAATATTTTAGGTGTTGCAGGTCATATACAGCCTCTACCCCTGCCTTTAAAAAAACAAACAAAAATCTTTTACAAAATACACACACACACACACACACACACACATTAGCTCTTGGGATTTACAAAAACAGACTAGAGCCCAGCCTTTCTCAAGTAGGTTCCATGAGAGAATTAAGTATTCTTGTTTGTCATAAATTTACTTCTCTCTTATATATCTGGAATAGTATTTGTTATATATGATCTTTGGGACAACTAACTTACACCTGCATTCAGTAAAATACCAACAGTTGCATCTTCTCTATCTCCAACTGAAAAAGCTGTAAGCTTTTTTAAAGAATTGTGTTGATGACTCATAAACACCAACAAAGAGAATTAGAAATACAGTTTTGTTCTACACTGTGGTGGTCTTCACCAAGAATACGGATAACCTAAAAAAGTTATCTGTAAAACCTATTTTCTCAATGCTCGAAAATCAGCCACTATCATAGTCACCTTGTACAGTCTAATTATACCCGCAGGGAAAAACAAATGATTAAAACACTTTACAAGATATATCATTTCAAAATGATAGCTGTAAAGGTCACAGATTATTAAAGAGGACCCTGAACTAAAAAGCTACCCTGCCTTGTAGGGCAATGACAATCTCAGCCAAATGGAGCAAAACCAATACCTGAATGCAAAAAGGCCAGACAGCTCCTTAAGGATTTTCAATATTAACTGTCAAGCAGCTCAAGCAATATTAAACAGAATATATGGAGTATCCCAAATATCATCAGTTCATAAATCCCAAACCAATACTTTTTGCAACACAGCAGACATGTAGACAGATCATAAAGACGTAGTACTGATATTTTCCAACTTAGATAACCATTATATTCCAGAAGGTTTCACATAAAACCCTGCCTAAGTTAAGAGCACATCAAAATATAATTTCTAGGGCTTTTGTATCAGCACCTGCAGCCTCATAGGTTCATTTTATTTTATTTTACTCACTTTATTTTATAATATGAAAATATAACCATAACTCTTAAAGCTAGAGACAACCTCTATGTATAAATGCCTTGAAATAAGCTTCTGGACTTTTGCTTGAATCCTCTCTCTCCATTTATGACTACAATATATCAATG